AGAAACGAAATCTCTGATGAAAAATCAAACTTGGAGTTTGGTGAATCTACCTGCAGACCGAAAAACAATTGGTTGCAAGTGGGTGTTCAAGAAGAAAGTTGATGCCAATGGGGAGATTGAGCGTTACAAGGCTCGATTGGTTGCAAAGGGATATTCAGAGACAGAAGGGGTTGATTATGGTGAGGTATTTTCACCTGTTGCAAAGTTAAATTCCTTAGGACTGGTTTTGTCTATAGCAGCTACATATGACCTAGAGGTGGAGCAGCTGGATGTGAAGTCGACTTTCTTTCATGGTGATTTGGAGGAGGTTATTTTCATGAAGCAACCAGAGGGGTTCATTGCAAAAGGCAAAGAGGAGCTAGTTTGCAAGCTGAATAAATCTCTGTATGGCCTGAAGTTTGACACTTATGTGGTGAAGATTGGCTTTGACCGCTGTGATGTTGATCATTGTGTTTATGTGAAAAGGATAGAAGGTGACTTTGTTATTCTAACTTTGTATGTTGACAACATGTTACTCGTTGGAAACAGTTCGAAGATGATCAGCGCTGTTAAAGGACTACTAGCAAAGCAGTTTGAAATGAAAGATCTAGGCGCTGCAAATGTGATCTTGGGTATGCAGGTTAAGAGGGATCGTGACAAAGGAAGATTATGGTTAAGTCAGCGGAAGTATATAGAAGATGTCCTGAAGAAATTCAAGATGACTGACTGCAAGCCTGTGTTGACTCCCATGTCTACTGGTTCTAAGTTATCGGCTAACCAGTGTCCCAAGACTGAAGAAGAAAAATAGGAGATGGCGTCAGTTCCTTATGCTAGTGCAGTTGGGAGTCTGATGTATGCCATGATTTGTACTCGACCTGATATTGCTCAAGCAGTGGGAGTATTGAGCAGATATATGTCCAAGCCAGGAAAGGAGCATTGGACGGCTATGAAGCGTGTGTTCCGCTATCTTCGTGGTACGTCTGACCTTGGATTATGCTATGAAGGCGTGAAGGGTTCAAGGGGACATACATTGTTAGAACTGAGATGCTTTGTGGATGCTGATTGAGGAGGTGACATTGATAGTAGAAGGTCTACAAGTGGATATGTTGTTTCATCATTCGGCGGAGCTATCAGTTGGATGAGTAAGAGGCAGAGCACTGTTGCTTTATCTACTACAGAGGCTGAGTACATGGCTTTGACACATGCTGTTAAGGAAGCTATTTGGTTACGGAGGTTGTGCAAAGAGCTTGGCTTTGCACAAGGAGAGATGATCGTTGGGTGTGACAGTCAGAGCGCCTTTTCTTGGCTAAGAACCCAGGTTTTCATGCGAGGACCAAGCATATCGGCATACAGTACCACTTCATCAGAGAGAAGATTGAAGACAAGGTTGTATTGCTGGAGAAGGTTGACACAAAGGTCAACAATGCTGATTTTCTGACCAAGGCAGTGACTTCAGAGAAGTTTGAATGGTGTACAGCTGCATTGGGATTGAAGAAACATGCGAAGCATTCACCAAGTGGGAGAATGTTGGGTATGGCTCATACTTCGCATGCTGATGAAGGCCCTAATTATCGGGGTCAGCAGAAAGGCAAGCTGGACGTAGGGTTTTCTTAACAGTTTGGGTACTATCTCACTGTTTTATTGTAATTGTGGGCCTCTGTTTTATTGTAATTTTCTTAGCAGTTTAGGCTTGGGCCCATGAATAGCTGTTGTTAGGGTTTTCTAATCCTATTTATATTTTTCTTGTAAACCGAGTGACTTGTAACGAGTGGCGGTGATGAGAATATAGTACAGACAAGCTGAACGTAGCCTTAATTGGGTGAACCAGGATAAATCATCGTGTCAATCTCTCTACTCTTATCTTTTTTTTTTTCTGTTTTCTCAATTTTGTGTGATTGTTGATTTCCAACCGGAGGATCAAAATGTTATATCAATAATTCAATATAATGAACTTGTTTCTGCAAAGAATTGAAATCTGAGGTACTTGTAGTTCAATATATGAGTGATTTTCATTTGTTCAACTATTTCTCGTCCACTCGGGAGTTGTAAGCAGTTTTACACGCAACTCATCATGTTTTCTTTTTAAATGTGGCAACATCAAGTGACCAATAAATACTATTACGTCTTATGAAAAATAACATCATTTCAATTGTTTGCCATTGTTCCAATCAATAGTGGACGCATGCTTGGAATTTTTACATCCCGAATATGTTTCATGAATCAACACTCATATTAAAGGACTTTTTTGGGATTAAACAATAGACTTTTCCCTAGCAATATATTTATATATAAAAGAAAACTAATATTCAAGATGCTCTGGTTTTATATATTTATATAATTGACTTAGGTACTATCTCACTGTAATAATATATATATATATATATATATATATATATATATATATATATATATATATAGAGCGAGTAAATTTATGTACATACCAATAAACTCATATCCTTCATTTGGGTCAAAGGATAATTTTTTTCGCCCTCACCTTGTTATATTTTTTGTACAACAGTATTAATGGGTTTTGGTGGAATAATAGTAGTGGAGTTTGAATCTAAAATTTCATAAAAAATACTCAAGCTGCTTACCAACAATCGAATTCTAATTAATAGCTTCACCTCTGGAGTTCAAATAAAAGAAAAATGGTTATTGAAACCAAAAATATGATATTATTAACTCATCATCCTAAAAGAAGAGATCTTTATATGACAGGTAAAAACATCACATTTAAAAGTTGTAAACTTTTTTATACATTATTTTATAAATTTAGTTTTGACACACTATTAATGTAAAAACATTTTATAATATCATCTAATAGTATATCGTCCATATTATTTAATGAATTTGAAAGTATTAAAATTTACATGAAATGTCAAACTCATTAACAAATGTGAGACCATATCATTATATGACAGTATAAAATCTTATCTAATGACAATACATTAAAATTAAATTCTTGTTTTCTATGTTTTTTTATTTGTGACCTATCATTTGTACTTTCCAACAAATATACTTATTTTTGTTGATGACAGAAAAAGACCATACCATTATCATATGTTCTCCTATCATTCGCTCTCATTTCTTTTTCCCTAATGTACTATCAATACAAAGAGTGAGGATATTCTAACTATCAAAATCTCTCGCTACTAACTTATTACCCATCAACATCACCATTGGATCAAAGAGAGAGAATGTTAAAAAGTTTTTGAAGAGATAGAAAATGTTAATCTAATGATGATTAGATAGGTAGTAAGTTGGTAGTAGAAAATTTTAGTAATTAGAATATCCATCGTACAATACAAATGCATTATATATATATTGATCATAATCCATCTCTCAATGATAGCTATAACATTCCTGCGTTGTCAAAAAAGCCAATCATATCACCATCAAACTATGTTGTTACCATGTCATTTTCTCTCTCATTTTGTTGGAATATTTCTCCAAACCCACATGGGTTCTGTTTCCAAAAATATCGTTAGCTTTTCACTACCATTCAACCCTTTGCATATATGAATAATGCTACCTACCATCTAATTACTTATAAATTATATCATATTTATATAATGTTATCATTTAATTACAATTAATTAAGCTTGAGTAGATTTTTTATATACCCACTTTAATTAATTCTGTCACCTGAAACAAATATAAAGCAATGCAATTAATAAACGAAGGTGGTGGGTAGCCTTAATGAAGGGAATCACTCTAAAGTCATAGTAGATGATGCATGCCCAGACACACATGACACAACACAACTTTTGAGACATAATGAGTCCCAATCTTAACCCTAATAGGGCCCAAGTTATTGCCAATATCTGTGCTCAGACCTAACCTTGATGGTCACGCGCCAAGCACAATTCTTTCGAGGAAGAATGTTGTCGATCCTATCTACTACTGCTCCTACTATATTATATAATATCTAATATTATCTAGTATCTACCACTATCAAGTATGACTATGAGTACCTAACTACCATCAAAATAACCTTTCACGTGTATGTTTGTCAACCTTGGTAAACTTTGTCGGTCAAACACCCTTTTCCTAAACAATATTTTTTGAATTTTGATTATCTTCATATTAAAATCTAAATTACATTATTTCCTTTTTATATTAATTGTTCAGTCTTAACAGATTTAACTAATTCAATTTTAGGTTTGAGTCTTTTCATCATTTCTAAGAAGTAATAATTCTTAGAAATCAAATTTAACATTCCTCTGGACAAGTCAAATCCTCGGATATAGTTACTAAACCAACACCTTAATTTCATTATTTCCTTTCAATACATATTCAAATAATATTTTTTATTTTAAAAAATTACACTCACTTCTTTTTACACATGTAAACATATTATAATGTAATTCATTTTAATATAAAGAAACTTCTTGATGGCGGTCAACAAGTATATAAATAAGTCTTCTAATGATAGTTTTACTTTCCTCGTGACTATTAACATCATTAGCAATTATAGTGTATACTACTATGATTGATTTTGAGACTTTAAAAATTGTATTTAAAATTTAAAATAAAATCCTCAAAGTCAAAAGTAGAACTTATCAAAATTCCATTTTATTTTTTAAATTTTGAAATTATTAATTCAAAACTAGACTTCAATGATGTTGAGAGTTACGTGGGGAAAAAAATCTCCTTAAAAAATTTGTCGATAATTACTGATCAATGTCATAAAAAAGTTTATTCACATTAAAATAAATTAAACTTTTAACATAATTTCATCTCAAAGAGAAGAAAGAAGGGAAAAATTTTAAAATAAAAAAACAACAGCCTAATTTAAATATCTCTAACAAAATAAAAGTGTAATTTATATTAAAATTCAAAAGTAGAAAAAGGGTTGCCCATAAACAGTAATACTTCTTGAAAAAGAAAATGAATTAAGTTAATCAAAAGGACCATCTGGGTCTTAGCGTTAAACTCTCTTAACCATAATTATAAAGATTTTTCTTTGAAGGTCCTCCTCCAATTCTCAGTCCAAACACCTTTCCCTACTTCTATTTTTCTACCTGCCTTTTCTCTTCTTCTATCTTCCTTGCCTATGCATTGGAAGAGAAGGAGAAATCAGAAATCATGGAGCTAGGCTTGAGCTTAGGAGACACTTCAAGGCCTTTCGTGTTCATAGAAAGGCCTTGTAAAGCTTCAAACGAATTGGGGCTAGGCTTCAACACCACCTTATCAATTGGTCAAGTTATTACTAAACAAAGAGATCATCAACATCAAGAACAAGATGAAACAACTGCAAAGCAAAATAACAAACACAATAGTCACAGCACTGATCAAGAAGGCCATGAAGCCACAAATGAATACCTTACTCCTTCTCTCAAAGCCAATAACAACGCAGTTCTACCGCTTGATCTTCTTCCTCACACACCGGCTGTTGCTCCTATCAACCATCCTCCACACCTTTCCATCTCAAACGGTAAAGTTCAATTTATCGGGAGTAGATCCTCTCATATATATGCTCTCGTGTAACATAAAATATTATGTCACACGAGAGGATGATTTTTTCTAACCTGACATGAGAGGATCTATTTCCCACCTCTTTTGTATCTATACTTAATCCTTTTGAGCTCAAGGGAGTTCTTGACATGGTGCAGCAAGGGGCTTAGATATTAACCGGGTGCCGACTGTGGCGGCGGTGGAAGTGGACGATGAGGCGGAGGAAGAGGTGGTGTTGTCATCATCCCCCAACAGTGCAGCATCATCAATTCAGATGGATCTCTGCATATTCAGCAGAGGAAGGAGTATGAGTGGTGAAGGTTATGATCAAAGGGGAAGTTCCAAAGCAAGTGATGAAGATGAGAACGGTGGCAGCACCAGAAAAAAGCTTAGGCTCTCTAAGGAACAATCTGCTTTCCTTGAAGAGAACTTCAAAGAACACAACACTCTTAACCCAGTCAGTGTTATATATATGTATATTGATAGATAGATATGCTTTTAATAGACTTGGCTTTCATGTTTGTCCCACCGTTACTTTCTTTGTTTCATTTCATCTTTTTAGTGACAGTGTTACACAAAACTTTTATGGTGTAGAAACAAAAGCTTGCTCTTGCGAAACAACTCCATCTTCGCCCTCGCCAAGTAGAAGTATGGTTTCAAAACAGAAGAGCAAGGTAGTTCACACTGCTTTTGCCAATGCAGATGTTCTTCGAAGCAAGTTTCATAAAACTATATATATATATATATATAAAAGAATATTCTAACAACTAATTAGTGTTATTACCAATGTTACTACCAATCAATTTAACTGTTAGATCGTTATGTTGATCCAACGGTTATATTTATTTTTATCTTTGTACGGTTATGATTCCCCATATTTAATACTTTATATTTATTTTCACGTTTGTATGATTATGATTTCCCATATTTAATGCTTTTACATTAAATATGAAAAATTATAACCATACAAAAATAAAAATAAATATAACCGTTGTATCTACATAAGCGACCTAACGGTAAAATTAATTGACAGTAACATTGATAGTCACACTAGTTAGTTGTTACAATATCCTACCTCATATATATATATATATATATATATATATATATATATATATGAAATTATATTTATACATTTTTTATTTACAAATTACATTATGTATTTTGGAAAATAAACTCGGTTAAGAATATATTCCAAAAAATACATAATATAATTTATAGAGTTTATAAATATAACATGTCACGTGTATAAATGTTTAAGTTGGCCTCCTGAAATTGTGATAAAGTTGTCATTTATGACTAAATGTTCACTGGTTTGAATTCGAAAATTAGCTTTAGTCAGGATTTTCCGAATTAAATCCTGTAGGCTGTTTTCACGATTCAAACCAATAATTAGTGACAAATGAATAACTTTACTGCAATTTCAGGCTCGCCCACTTATATATATATATATATATATATATATATATATATATATTAAATCAGAGTTATTGATTTTTTTTGATCTAGTGGCTTTCAGATGAGGTGTCAAATTTTAAATTTGACACTGTTGTCAAAGGATTCTACCTCGTATATATGAGGTAGAATCCTTTGACATCAGTGTCAAATTTGAAATTTGACACCTCATGTGAAAGCCACTAGATCAAAAAAGATCAATGACTATGATTTGTAACCATGTGACACCATTGATCTTTTTTGATATAATGACTCTCAGATGAAGTGTCAAATTTTAAATTTGACAAGATCCTACCTTTATTTATATATATATATATATATATATATATATATATATATATATATATAAACTATGGTCATATATACCATAGTAATTGGGATGTGGTTTGGGTGAATGCAGGACCAAGTTGAAGCAGACAGAGGTGGATTGCGAGTACTTGAAGAGGTGTTGTGACACACTTAGAGAAGAGAATAGAAGGATTCACAAGGAGATTCAAGAATTGAGGGCTTTGAAGACTTCAAACCCATTCTATATGCAGTTACCACCAACCACCTTGACCATGTGCCCATCATGTGAGCGTGTTGCCACTAATTGCACTGCCAAAACCACTAATGAATCAACCTCCAAAACCATTGGATTCCCTGTTGGCAAACCCAGGTTTTATCCATTTTCTCACACCCAACCACATACCCACCCCACCAGTCCACAGCATCTTGAATTAAATTAAATTAAATTATGTTAAAGGTACTTCAAGATGAGTAATGAGTGCTGCTGCAAGGTGGTGTGGGGCTTGATGCTTGGAAATTCTTTTGATTTTGTACATAGGGAAGTTCTGAGACAATGAGAGATTTTGTTAATCAGGAGGAATTCTAACATTTGGGTTTTGTTTTTTTTCTAGTTTTAATATCTCTGCTCATATCTTGTTTCTGATGTTTCTATTATGATTTAATTGGAAAGAAAGGTCAAGAATATTTTACAGGGAAGATAGGAATCTAAGAGAAAAGGAAATGATACTGGTTGTTGCAGAAAATATATTCTTCTCTCTCCCTTTATCTATTGATTATATTTCTCTTTGCCACTTTTGTTGTCAGATAGTATTTACAAATAAAAAAATCAAATTTGTTATTAATATAATGAGTTCGCTTTTTTGGAAAGCCAGCCAGATAAGTTATTTGTCGTAAGTTCAATATAACGTTGTTTTGGAACGAAAATTATGATATTTTTATAATTTTAATTTATTTTTAAATTATTATAGTCTTTATAATTATAATATTTTAATATTTCAATTCCAAAACAATATCATTTTAAAAATAAATACAGATAATTTATCTGGTATAGAAATATTTTTTTGTAATAATATATGATAATAATTAATTCCTACCTTAATTTGTTGGTGCAAAATTAAATAGGCAATTAATTATAGTTAGGTGGGCATGGTCTAAGGTCATGGGGTGAGGCAGTGGCCACATTTCAAAGCTGCTTTTCAGACAGAAAAAGCAAAACTCTTAAATTCATGTATTCACCCACATTTTAATGCTTTCGTTTCATGAAGACTTGAACCTCAGCAAATTGTGTCTACCAGGCGAAATTCTGGAATGTGTAATAAGCTAATTAATATTAAACTTGCATAAATTTTTGTGTTAAATAATGTATTATTTGTTAATTAACTCGGTGTACGTACAAGCATCTATAGCACGAATTAGTACACAATGTATAAGCAGGAACTAAGTCTATGTGGGGAATGCATTTTTTTCACATCAACAAGTGAACATGTTATTTGATCATAATTATTTATTAATAACGAAATAAAAAAGACAAAAATATATAATTTTTAAATAAATAATTATAATCAAATAATATGATCACATAATTATTTTTAATATGATAAAAAAATTTATTTATGAGTATAGGAATCTATAACGCGAGAATAATATAGGGTACAATTCCGTGCCTTTTGCTGCCTGTGGGACTGGGGGGGCCGAATGGAATTTTGACCCAAAAGGGGTAGGACAGAAATGCCATATTGATGAACATGTCCCCTAAAGTGGGCTACCCCAATTATGAGTATTCACGAGACAAGTACACATTTCAATATAGATAATAGGGAATTACTTCTCTCATGTAGTATGAGAAGAGTTTTTTCATGTAAAGAGACAAATAAAGTGGATCCTACCAACTTTTAGAAAAAAAAAAAAAGCACATTTTTCCAAAAGAGAGTAATATAAGAGATCCATCTTATGCAATAAGTACTAAGTTGTTTGCAAATGCCTATTTGTTCTCACCCGAAATCCTTTTGCTGTTATAATTAACATTTTCACACGTTATTTGTAGTTTTTTCTCACCAGATAATATTCTTGTTATTACAACTTTTTAGCGTTCTTTGTAGTTTGATAAACCTTTCGTTTATCTTGTTTTATAGACTAAAATTACATGAATTATCAAGTCAAATGAGTGAAATCTAGGGTTTACGGAGATAAAATCATGAACTTTATGAACTATGGATTAAATATTATATATTTGCTATTTTGAAGGGATTTGAAGATAAATGGAAACAGAAATCAAGATTGGATAGATGAAGATCAAACCTAGAAGATTTTGAAAATCTATCTAAAGAAAATCAAGATTATCAAGTTGTTGAAGAGGAGGCTTAAGCCCCCATTTCAAAGCTTAAACCTCATAACTATCCAAAAATCAGTGTTGCGAATAATCGGCAAGTGTACCTATCGTACTAAGTAATAAAAGAGTAAGTAGAGTATCGTCTCCACGAGGATTGAAGCACCGAATTTATTATAACTATTCCTCTCTTGTTGGATCAATAAAAATAGTTTAAGAACAATTATGATTTATGAAATGCGAGAACAATTCAAGAAAATGTAAATAATTCAAAAGTTCTTTAGAAACTCAAGATCAAAAGATTAAAATTTAAGAGAATATTTGAGAAAATATTGCGGTAAAGAGACGCCAACACCTTTATGATCCCCACCTTATAACTTGAATTAACGTTTACATTCAATTATGCAATTGATCAAACGATTCACTATCTTTTATTTAATTGGTTAAGCCTTAATTCCTTAATGATCGTAACCTTATCAACCCTATTAGAATCCTAATCCCTTAGAAATCCCCTTTTAAGTTGAGCCTTCGAATCAGTGAATCTTTCACGTTTGCGGTTCATGTAGCCTATCCCTAGTGCATACATGAACAATTATCTTACCTCTTGTCAGGAATTAAAATTCTAATATTCCTATTGAAAACCCTAACCCTCGCAATCCTAAAAGAGTGATCAGTTCTAGAAGAATTATAAGATGAAGAACAAGGTAAAATAAACTCAATTAACATAGATGAATATAAATTTAACCAAACTACAAGGGGTTCACATCAAGGGTTGTGACCCTTACCACAATAGTAAAACTAGCCAGCCATATTCATGTCTGACAAAATAAACATAAAAGAAAATAAGTTTTAGAACCTAAAGAAGAGAAAGAAGATGAAGATCTTCCGTCTTGATCGTTTGATTCTCTGAAACTCCAAGAAGCTCTCAAGAATTCTCCCTCTCTTTGTAGTTTTTCTCTTCCTTGTTGTCAAAAAGTTCTTCCTTCCTCTGTTTCTGATCCTTTTATTAGGTTTTAGGAAAACCTAATTTCAATTGCTCTCCAATTGGGCCTCTTTTTTTGAGTAATTCGCATCAGATTGGAGTAAAAAAATATCGCCCACGCACTTTGCGTCAGGTCTGACGCACCGTGCTTGGGAAAACAGAAGGGAAACTATGAAATGGTGAACTGTGCGCCAGGTATCGCGCACCGTGTGCCAGGTACCGCGCACCGTGCGCCGCCTCCCGCGCACCGTGCGCCGGGATACAGGGGCGAAACTCATAAAATGGCGCACCGTGCGCCAAGTTTCGCGCATCGTGCGCCGACTGGAAAATTTGACTTCTCTGTTTTGGCTCCCTTTTGTGGCGTTTCCTGTTATTAAAACACATAACTTGAGTGAGAGAATGATTGAGAATGAATAATCAATATTTCTTGCATTTATGACTTATTTTCACACATTTATGATTAATTCCTTCTTTCTTTTAAGTTAGAAAGCATCATATGCTAGACGCACATCAAACAATTCCCAAATTTAGATGTTGCTATCATCAGCAATAAACAGAATTAAAGCATGGGAAGCAAGGTTAAATTAATCAAGCACAACATTGCACAGACAATCATAAAGATCACTATACTAAGCATGAATGATTTCCAAGTCAATCTTAAGATGATGATTATCAACTACATTCAAATATCAGAGTCTAACTTGATTACCCCTCAGAAGATATGATATTCACTCATCACTCAGTGTTTGGGGTTATTCATCATCACTCATTCCATCACAGCTGTTGTACTACCATAAGCTTGATCTTTTTCTCAAGTTCCTAAAGATGAGGAACATCAACACATGCCTGATTAATCAAAAGGGCTTCTTAAGTTATAACTTGGCTTGGCTTAAGGTTAGGATCTTTTGGAAAGTAGCTGAATAATTATTAAGATTGAAACACCATTTTCATTAAGACTCAATCATCTCTCAATTCAAGTTTCAGCTCCACTATTTATTTGAATTCATGATTCATCCTTTTTCTCACCTTTTTTTTTCTTCATCATTGCTTTTCAATTTTTGCAATTTATTTTTCTTTCCTCTTTAAATTCACGTGAGAACTATTCTTTTCTTTTCCTTTTCAAGTACTTAACTTCTAGTGGAGCTTACCTCAATCGCTTCTAACTTTTGATTATTAACATTTCAATCTCAATCAAGGTAAGTTCTGATGGAAGTGGTCTAAACAGTTTAATAAGGTAATTGAACAAAAATGGTCTCAGGCTCAACATGGCTAGCAATAGATGATTTCTCAAGTGGCTATTTTGGCATAAGCTAATAGAATAAAATGCCTCTATCACTTCAATAAACACATGCATTGGAGAGAATTAGATCAAGTTCTAGAGTACTACTGCAGTGAGGACTCTCAAAAAAAATTTAACTGTATAGGCACAAACCTCACAGGTTGTGGTATCAAACTAGACTCTTCCTAATTTCATTCCAAGCATCATTATCCATTATTAACATAGAAATCAAACAAACGAGCAATCATAATCTCTATTCATGCTCTATGCAATGTCGTGACAATACTGTATATCATGCAACGCTTCCGCATTTTCAACCAAGGAATTGACTGAGTAGCACTTCCAAAACTGAAATGTGCTTTCACATAACAGAAAATGAAACTAAAAACAAAAATTTTCTACTAAAATGAAAATAAACTAGAAAGGTTAAAATAACTCCCCTGAAATGGCTATGAATCCGCTGAACCTTTTATGTTGTTCCTCTGTGTGTGATACCTCAAATAACGCGTACGCGATCCAATTTCCAGATTTAGAATATTGTTGTCCTCGGCAATAACTAAACTAGTCAGAGAAAATACTGCTGCGCAAGTATAAACAACACACATGTGAAATATCAGGCAGAAAATAACATGACCAATGTACTGGAGAATTACAACCCAAAATACCAAAGAGGTTCAAATGACCCTAACATAAACCTAGATGGTCAAACAAAAACAACGAAAATAAAAAAATAAAAAACAACAAAATAGTAATGCAGATGATGTCCTCCATAGTCAGTCCTCGTTCATACTGTCGTGATGCTCTGCTGGTGGTGGAGGTGATGGAACGTATGGTGCTGGTGGCTGATATGATGGTGGAACCGGTGGATACTGTGGCTGATAAGCAGTGTAGTCAATGGACAAATGCTGGCAGATGTCCTCAAACATACGAGTATGATAAGCTCCCTGTATAGTCCGTATGTCGCTCTGAATGACCAAACGGTCCAGCTGAGACTGCATCTGTAAATAGCTAGGAGAATCCTCATAGACGAGGTCATGCCGTGGGGCTCTGAAGGTGGAG